CTGTTGGGCTCACTGACTCATCCTCAGTACCTCAGCCAGGAACACAGAAACCCTAAACAAATTAGTGACTCCACAGAGAGTGTGTGAGACTTCTGCCTCATCAGCTCCTTCTACAAGCTCAGGACAAGGCAGGTTTCCATGCATTTTCCTACCTCAAGGAAGGAATATGTACATCTCTCATACCATCTCTGTTAGATGCAACATAATTCTTATAATTCAATCAACAATAAGTATGCTTTAATACTAGTTTCTAGAACAATGAAGCCCTCCTACTAAATTTTTCCATCAAATTCACGTGGAGTAAACACTAGGCTGATCAGAACACCCAAGTACAGTCCCGATTATCAGTAAAGCCCTTGCATTCACCTGCAGTTTTACAAGAGGCCCACTCTTGCACCCCCTGCTGCGATATCAGTGGATTCTTGTCCCACTTCTCATTCCCTTTCCCACTTGGGGTGCTAGCCTTGAGAAACTAGGCTAGCACCATTCTTTTCCGCATTATACCAGGTTTCACTAGCCAAGCTTTTTAGAAAACTGTCCTGCTCCATTGGTTAAGAGTGGGTTCATGGCTCTCCCAAACAGATGGGTGTCCTTTAGGACTTGGGGTGATTAGGCCCCAAGGTATATAACGCTTAAGGCACTGTAGACACATAAAGCTCTGTGCTTGGTACATTGGTGGGACCTAGGAAACAGTAGTTATCATGACTCCATAATTCCCAACATTTCTCTCTCCTGCCTGTCCCCATTCATCTTAACCATTCGCAGCTGCACTGCTCCCAGTTTTTCTTCTCCCTACATCCTTCCAGGTTTGATAGCATTCTTAAACCTTCACGTTTATAGTCTTCTTGCCTCATTTTAAACCTTTTTGTAATTGGGTTTGCAGCTATAGAATATATTAATTCCCAGGACTGAAAATGAAGCTATTTGGGGCTGGAGTGGGAGATAAAAATCGATTGGGCCCCCACTCAGAAGCAGGATCAAATCCAGATGACAGGAGACATGTTCCCCTTCTTGTTGAGTTGTAAGTCTCTCACAGCAGCCCCAGAGAAGCACTCAGCGTCCTGTGTCCCAACCGGGAAAAAAAAAATGTGTAGCTCTCTGAGACATGATAAAACGTAAAACATGGTATTTCGTGAAGCCAGTTTCTTAATTATGAAATCAAAGTCACCATTTTATTTACTTTGCAACAGTTTGTTGCCTTTTAAGATGGAATCCTAAAGCAAAAATAATCTGTGAGCACCACCTTGTGGAAAGATCTACAACAACATCAATCTTTATTCATCGAACACCTATTTAATGTGCTGGTGCTGAGGATAGAGCAGTAACCGGACAAAAATCCCTGGACTCGTGGAACTTACTTTCCAGCGGGAAGACAGAAAATAAACAACATCAGTAAGTGAAATACATGATGTTTTAGAGGGTGCTGAGTGCTATGGAGAAAAATAAAGCACAGAAGAGGGATAGGGTATGCAAGGCCTTACTGAAAAGGTGATTTTGAATAAAGGCTTGAGAGAGAGAGGGAAGAGCCAGCCATGCAGTTACCTGCGGTAAGAGCCATGTGGATAGAAAGGCACATGCAAAGCCGTAAGTGGAAATGTGCTTGGTGAATTTGAGGAATTAGCGTTGAAGGCACTGCCCAGAGCAAGTGTGGAGGAGATGGTAGGAAAGTGCGAGGGAAAGCAGGGGCCACATCACATGGGCCCTTTCTGGTCATAAGGATTCAGCATCTACTCCAGATGAGACAGGAGCCTTACGAGGCTGTGAGCAGAGAAGATGATACTTTTTTTTTTTTTTTTAAACAGGATTTCTTTGATTGAAGGAGTCAGGGGAAGAAACGGAGATACTGTTTTTGGACCCAAGCAAGAATGGCCCCTGCCCTGAGCTCCATGCTTTAGAGGGTTCTGCATAAAACAAACACACAGCATGTAAATTTATGATAGTACCCAAGGCATCTTTTCTAGAGATCAAGGCTCCATTCTAGCACAGCACAGCTTGCAGTCTTAAGTATTCCTATTACGATCAGTTTCAGGCCCTGGGGAAACTCGTCTCCACACCTCTTGCCTAATGTTCATCAAATAAAAGGTGATTGTCTCCAAATGCCATCAAGGCTAATGGGCGGTATTGCTGCAAACATAGGAGATGGATACTCCTTTCGGGTGTGAAGAGGGTTTGAGCAATGAATGTGCTTAATTAAGAGAAATACAACTTATCAACTTCCTAAGATTGTATCTCAGGTGAGCTGAGCATCCATTTTCTTGCTCTCTTCATGTTCCAGTTCATCATTCTTGAAGTACTCAGTGGCTGGAAATATTAAACAATTCATCTCTCTCTAAATTTGTATGTATGCAGGCCCACACAGAAAATTCAAGATGGATCTAGATTCTAGAATATTGTGTTGAGATGGTGGAAATGGCAGTAGAAGTGATCATTGTTTATATGATGAAATTTAAGTATTTGCAAAATTGTTTACCATCATAATGCATTATGCACAACCCTAATTACAATTTTTGAACATGGTATGTACTATTCATGGTTCATTTTTAAAACTTATTGTTAACCCAGCTAAGCAAATATTCTCCAAATTGAAATTAACTTTTAAAAATTAATTTTTTAGGGGCACCTGGGTGGCTCATTGGTTAAGTGTCTCACTCTTGATTTCAACTCAGGTCATGATCTCACAGTTCGTGAGTTCGAGCCCCATGTCAGGCTCTGAGCTGACAGTGCAAAGCCTGCTTGGGATTCTCTCTGTCTCTCCATCTCTCTCTCTCAAAATAAAATAACTTTTAAAAAGTAATAATTTTTTTCTTTTTTTCTTTTTTTCTTTTTTTATATCTATTTTTATATTAAATATAATTTATTGTCAAATTGGCTTACATACAACACCCAGTGCTCATCCCAACAGGTGCCCTCCTCAATGCCCCTCACCCACTTTCCCCTCTCACCACCCCCCATCAGCCCTCAGTTTGTTCTCAGTATTTAAGCGTCTCTTATGGTTTGCCTCCCTCCCTTTCTGTAGCTTTTTCCCCCCCCTTCCCCTCCCTCATGGTTTTCTGTTGAGTTTCTCAGGATCCACATGTGAGTGAAAACGTGGTATCTGTCTTTCTCTGCCTGACTTATTTCACTTAGCATAACACCCTCCAGTTCCATCCACATTACTGCAAATGGCCAGATTTCATTCTTTCTCACTGCCGAGTAGTATTCCATTGTATATATAAACCACGTCTTCTTTATCCATTCGTCAGTTGATGGACATTTAGGCTCTTTCCATAAGTTGGCTATTGTTGAAAGTGCTGCTATGAACATTGAGGTACAAGTGCCCCTATGCATCAGCACTCCTGTATCCCTTGGGTAGATTCCTAGCAGTGCTATTGCTGGGTCATAGGGCTGACAGTGCAAAGCCTGCTTGGGATTCTCTTTGTCTCTCTGCCTCTGTCTCTCTCTCAAAATAAAATATCTTTTAAAAAGTAATAATTTTGGGGGCGCCTGGGTGGCTCAGCTGGTTAGGCGTCCGACTTTAGCTCGGGTCATGATCTCACAGTTCTTGAGTTCAAGCCCCTCATGGGGCTCTGTACTGACAGCTCGGAGCCTGGAACCTGCTTCAGATTCTGTGTCTTCCTCTCTCTCTGCCCCTCCCCCACTCACTCTCTGTCTCTCAAAAATGAATAAATGTTAAATAAAACTTTTTAAAAAGTAATTTTTAAAAAATAACATGAATAATGTGGAAAACTTAATTATGAAAACATACACTTTGCTAAATTTAAGTTTTAAAAATAACATCTAGAGGATAAAAGTATAGTAATTCATTAACATCTTTCTCTACTAGTCATCCAAATACCACCTGCCCATTAATAGAACAGCCAGACACACACAATAGTAATTTAGTCATCTTTGATAGTTTGTTAACTGTCAGTCCTAAAAACCATAGCTTTTTTTTCACTTTTGCAACATGAAAATATACATTAAAATAAGAGGATAGAATATATTTTCAATAAATATATTTTAAATATACATATAAATCTCAAAAGGGAATCACGTTTTTCAAAGTTTATTTTTCTGGAAGAGCGAGAGCTGCCTATCACCCACTTCCCAGTTTGATTCACTGAGGTTTTCAAATCTATGTAACTACACGCCTTCGTTGATCTGAATTTAATTTGGATTCAATAAATTAGTTTCTTTTAAAAATGAGGCTGCTAAGTTGTTATATATTCACAATTATTGAATATTCACATTGCAAGTGAATTCCCAAATACCCACCTGTTCAGTGAATAACCAGAATTAATTAGTATAGACATGATGATAATGAAGCCAAACAACTTATCCAAATTAAATGTTCTTCCATGAAGAAAGGAAGGGCTGAAATTTTAGATCAATAATGATTTATTTTACTCTTGACTCTTTGGGGGACATTTAGTTTTTCTAAGCACAACAATTTGATGAATGGCTGGATCTTTGCTATGACTCAGCAATAGCTTTATCAACTTTCCTTTGTTCTTAAATGTTTATTTATTTTGAGAGAGAGAGAGAGAAAGAGCACATGAACATGCATATGTGGAAGAGGGGCAGAGAGAAAGGGAGAGAGAGAGTCCCAAGCAGGCTCTGTGCTGTCAGCAAAGAGCCCAATGAGGAGCTCGGTCCCACAAACCGCGAGATCATGACCTGAGCCGAAATCAAGAGTCCAATGCTTGACTGATTGAGCCACCCAGGAGCGCTTTTACAAACTTACTTTTTACCTTTTATCCAACACACATGGCCACCTAATACAGGATTTTTATGGGCAAACTTTTGCATTGATTAATTTTGAATATATTTTAGCTATTTTTTATCATTCTTTCTGTGCATTCTCCTTGAATTAAACTGACAAGGGAATAGCTCCATTTCATTGGAGGTCAATCCTAACAGTGTCTAAACTCTTGAGACATACCAGCCCATCATGTGTCACTTGTTAGCCTTACACTCACACAGAAAAGAGTTGCACACACCTATATGAGATATACAAGATATTTGGTAAGAATATATTTATTAATTACAGATGTCAATCATATTTTATATGCAGATATTATTTAAATGGCATGGGAAATGGCATTATAATGCTAAATGAAAAAAGCTAACTACAAAATTAATAGACACATGTTTCCAATACATATAAATATATTTTTTTAAAGTGATGTCTTAAAATAGGCAGAGTAATTGACTTTAGGTTATACAATATTTTTCTTATTTTTTCTGTATTATTTTTATACTCATGAAAAACATAATGAAAGTTGTTCTTTTTAGTAACACTACCTGTGTTGCCTGACTTATTCCACTGAACCCAAACTACAGTGTTCAAGACACAGCTTATGGTGAAATTCCAGAATTTTCCTCCGGGTACAAAAGGAACCCAGTAAAAATGCTATCATCCTCAGGGCTGACATAGACCCCATTCCAATCTTTCGAAACTTCCAACCAGACTTGGTCCCCTGCACTTAATTTCAGGATGATAAGAAGAGAGGCCTGGTCTATTTCATGGCCATAGAGCGTTTCTCTGGACTTGAACTGCTTCTTATTCCGGGCCACCAGGCTGATGCGAACGGGTCTGCCCCTCACAGTGACATGGTAGGAAAATACATATGCGCCAGGAACACTACAGTTAAATTTGCCAGTGACAGGGCTGTAATTCCCTTGGTCATTATAGAGAACCTTGTCAAATTTGATTGGGATGTTGGGAGGAGGGAAAGGCTTCGATAAAGTGGCGCTGAAGGCTGACCGCAGCACTCTGGCCACCTCCCCCTTGGAGCCTTTGAAGCCCCGAGAGCCCTTCTTGCCAATAGATCCCCGGACCCCTTTGCTCCCAACCTCACCTTTTGGCCCCACAGGCCCCGCAAGACCAGGAGGACCTAACTCTCCCTTTTCTCCTTTAACTCCTGGATCCCCTGGGGCCCCAGGCAGGCCATCTGGGCCGCCTTTGCCTTCCGTTCCAGTATCTCCTTTGCTACCTTTTTCCCCTTTCAGACCCTCCTCACCTTTTTCTCCCTTCCCTCCCCTCTGCCCAGACTCCCCACAGCAGCCCTTTTCCCCCATCTCCCCTTTCTCTCCCTTGGCCCCAGGCTCTCCATTCAAGCCAGGTGAGCCCGCAGCCCCCTGGTCTCCTTTATCTCCTTGGGTACCATTTGCACACGTGTCCCCTTTGGAGCCTTTTTGCCCCTTCACTCCGGTCAGTCCGATGTTTCCTCTCTCCCCCTTAGGACCAAGGCCACCTGAAACAGAAAGTTCAAATGACATTCAAGGATCACATTGAACAGAACGCTATTACCACAGAGCTCACGAAACAGAAATGACACCTACTCACTGAGACTGGAACCCCAACTCCTGTCTCAGCCACAGCTGTGCCATTTGGATCCTGCGGCTCTCTCACAGGGGGAGGAGTTAATGCCACCAAGGAGTGACAACCTATATTTAAATCTCATAAATCTAGTTCTATTTTTTTTAGTACTTTTAAGATAAGAAACAGGATTTAGAACCACAGCGACCCATGGTAGTCCACTACCCTTTGTGTTTTGGCCCAACCCAAGTATTCCCCTACATCTCCACGAAGTCCATCCAAACCCAAAATCTCACAGGCAGAGAAGCTGAAGCTGTCTTTTTCCCAAAGACAGCTAGACTGAGGACACGAGCTCAGAAGCTTTTATTTAGTCTCCAAACTACCTGACCAGCACTTGTTGCACTCCAGCAATCAGGACACTGAAGTATGAGAATAAAAGCAATTCATATGTCCATCTTACCTCCTGCATAAGTACAAACAGGAAGAAAATTAGGGGCTGTGCTGCACACATGACTGAACGCAATAGATACAGTTTATACTCTACCTGGTTCTCCGGGTTTTCCCGGGTATCCTGGGGCTCCACTTGTTCCTTGGTCCCCACGTTCCCCCTTAAATCCTAAAATGATACCAAGATTAACTTTCTTCCAACTATATTAGTTATGGTATAACTAACATCCATTTTGCAACCATGTTACAATCCAACACTTCCTCTACCAAAATGGATAAAGGAAAAACGATATGGGAAAAAAATTTATCGAGCACGATTAGGAATATTTTGTTCCAGTTGATGGTGAACCATTTAAACAAGATTTGGGATAGTGCCAATCTCTTTGCACAAAATTCAGCTTTTCCCCCAGCATTCCCCTTGCTCTTCAAATCTCTCATGAAATTCATGATATTTTGTCTTGTTATTTATGTGTTTGTTTTTTCTTCTTATGAATCTTGAATAACAGTTAAAACATCCCCTTCTTTATGTTCCCCACAATGCCTAAAAAAGAGTGTCACCACCATATAACACAGAGCACACATTCTGCAATTAGCTAAAACTAATCATATCAAAAACCCTTCCCGGGGCACCTGGGTGGCTCAGTCTGTTAAGCTTCCGACTTTGGCTCAGGTCATGATCTCACGTTTCGTGGGTTCGAGCCCCAGGTTGGGCTCTGTGCTGACAGCTCGGAGCCTGGAGCCTGCTTCAGATTCTGTGTCTCCCTCTCTCTCTCTGCCCCTCCCCCACTCATACTCTGTCTCTCAAAAATAAATAAAATATTAAAAAATTAAACAAAAAAAACCATCCAGGATAGTGAATATAAATACAAATATAAATATAAAATGTAAATATACAGTCCTTGACATAGAGCATTAGGGAAAAGCCAATTTTCATTGTGTTTGGAATTTTTTTCATATGCTCTTTGGACAAATCACAGAACTGTAAAAATTCATGTTTGAAAAGAAATCTAAAGATCTAGGTTTTGGGATATTTCCCAGTGCCACAAAATGCATTTTTATACTGGACCTGCTAAAGGCCCCTCCTGTTACAGTACAACCACACTAAATTCATTTTTATTGAAAATGATAATAGCAGTAATAATAGTAGGAGGAATAATAGTTAACTTGTATCGAGCATTTCCTTTGTGCCAGGTAATGTTCCAAGTTCTTAACAAGATTTTTAAAGAATTTAATCCAGGGGCACCTGGGAGGCTCAGTCAGTTAAGCATCTAACTCTGGATTTGAGCACAGGTCATGATCTCACAGTTTCTGAGTTCAAGCCCTGTGTTGGGCTCCACACTGAGAGTGTGGAAGCTGCTTGGGATTCTGTGTCTCCCTCTCTCTCTGCCCTTCCCTTGCTTTCTCTCTCTCTCTCTTTCAAAATAAATAAATAAACTGTAAAAAAAAAAAACTAATCTGGTGGCTCAGTCAGTTAAGTGGTCGACTCTTGATTTCCCATCAAGTTATGATCTCACTGTCATGAGATCCAGCCCAGAGTCAGGCTCTACATCCAGCATGGAGCCTGCTTGGTATTCTTTCTCTCCCACTCTCTCTGACCCTCCCCTGCTCGTGTGTGTGCATGTGCTCAAGTGCTCTCTCTCTCTTTCAAAAAATAAAAAAATAAGTAAATAATTTTTAAAAATTAATCCAACCTTTTCAATTCAAAATTAATTCTCATTTGATATTAACATAGCCTCGTGGATAACAGGGAGACTCCTATAACAGAGCACATTTCATCAATGGGAACATTTTTCATTTACAGAAGTATATAGCATCTCCCCTCAAGAAAGATAGAGCAGATATTTTTACCACTTTTTATCACAGAAGAAACTGAAGTATGAAAGTTTACAAATTTGTATACAGTCAAACATGACTGTATGTAACATTGGTTGGCATCAGTTTGCCAACCATATTATTTATGATACAACTAATATTTTTTACTTTTTTAATTTATTAATTTTTATTTATTTGGTTTTATAGATATAACTCCTTTCTTATGTGCTGAAAATTTTTAAATTTTACTTTCTTTTTTTTTTTAATTTAAACCCAAGTTAGTTAACATATAGAGTAGTAATGATTTCAGGAGTAGAATTTAGTGATCCATCATTTATGTACAACGCCCAGTGCTCATCCCAACAAGTGCCCTCCTTAATGCCCATCACCCATTTAGCCCATCCCCCCACCCAATATCCTTCCAGTAAGCTTCAGTTTGTTCTCTGTATTTAAGAGTCTCTTATGGTTTGCCTCCCTTCTTATCTTATTTTTACTTCCCTTCCCCTATGTTCATCAGTTTTGTTTCTTAAATTCCACATATGAGTGAAATTATGTGAAATTTGTCTTTCTCTGACTTACTTTGTTTTTTTGTTTTATTTTTGTTAGGGAAAAAGAAATCCCACGTCAAATTACAAATCGTGAGAAAAGACTCCCCCCACCACCAAATTTCACAAGACCAGCTAGAGAAATCCCACACAAACTGCTCAGCAGTTTTCTAAGTAGCTGACCCCCTTCCATTACCATTCCACATAAAATTTACAATTTGGAAATTAACCCATAGGCCATCAGGAGACTATCTGTATCCCTTTGGAGAGACCCCAACTCTGAATGGAAGTGAAGGACTATTCTAACCCCCGTCCTTGTCAATACTCATATACCAGCCTTACTGCACAGTTATTCTGGTTCTCAAGTTCAATTTAACTGCTTACATTGAGTTTACTCAATCAGGTGGTGATGAACCAGAATGCAGTCATTCAACTCATTTATTATTTTAACTTTCAACCTTAACCAAGAGTCCAAGCTAAGTCTGGAAATAAAAAGAAAGTAGAGTTGCCCCTTTATAGAGACTGGCTGGATGAATTTCTACTTTTGATCTTTCATCAAAGTGTAATCTTAAGAACCTTATCTTATGATACTTCCCTGTTTTTTCTTCTACTTCCAGAAGTCTGGCTTCCAAAATGTATGAATCACTGGGGAGGTTCATCACTCATCTTTATTTCACAGGGCTTTCCGCTAACATAATTCATCCACAAAAGGATTAAATGTTTCCGAGAATGAAAATCGCATAACTGACAACTGTGAAGGAGCTCTTTCTTACCTTAGCATCTTTTTGGAGTAATTACTTCACTGAATATTCTACTAGAAATGAGTTAGACAGTTCCTCAGCCATGTGGAGGGTGATGTATAGATGATATTAGGTCTTTTGACATGTGACACTGAGGCTAAAACATTTAACTTGATGGATAGATGGTATTTCTACAGGCTGGTAGTATTCACTGTGGAATTTTTAAATGTCCCGGTGAATCTATAGCCTTCCCTCAATGTCTTGAAGCGCTTAGAGAACCAGGGATTTCCCCTGGCTGATAGATCTATGGAATTACAGAATTTCTGAGCCGGAAAAGATCTATGAAAGCACACATAACCATAAATCTTCTTTGATAGTAAATAGGGTATAAATAAATACCTAGTCTATTCCCCATTGATTTCCAGATGAGGTAAAGTGACTGGTACAAGGTCATTGCTACAAGCTTGATTTCTTCCATTTTAATTCAGTGCTCTTTCCACTCCTGATTGGAGTGAGCCAAAAAGGCATGTCATATTCTCCTTAGTAAGGATGCTATCCACCTAAACAGAATAATTCTATAGGGTTGCCTGCTCTAGTTAGTTTTATCTAATACAAAATTAATGTGTATCATGAGGAAGAGCTCACTCAGGAGTATACCGGAAAGGATCCTTCCCCAGAGACTATACCCTGTGGTTCCCAGTCACTAGGTCAGCTGTGTGGCCAACAAGACATAGAAAAGATGTGTGAGGGGTGCCTGGGTGGCTCAGTCAGTTAGGCGTCCAGCTCTTAATTTCTGCTCAGGCCATGATCTCATGTTCATGAGACTGAGCCCCGCATCAGGCTCTGGGTGGGTGTGGAGCCTGCTTAAGATTCTTTCTCTCCCTCTCCCTCTGCCCCTCCCCTGCTCTCACGTGCCTGCGCTCTCCCTCTCTCTCGTGCGCGCGCTCTCTCGCTCTCTCTCTCTCTCTCTCTTAAAGAAAAGACAAGATGCGTGAGAGCCTACATGTGTGGAGGGGAAGGAGGGAGGGTGGAGAGAAAGAGAGAAACATTACCAGAAAAGTTTAAAGTCCCTCAATAGACTATTTATAAAGTTAACATTTTTATATCAAATATAACTTGCAATATGCCTTACCAAGTTTTTTACATTTTTAAAAATTGATCCACCTGCAAGAATATGGTATTTACTTAGCAGGTTGCTCTCCTGAAAAATGATACAGAACATGTCTTGAGTTTTGACATGAAATAGATATAAGTACCTACCCTTCTCTCCTTTCTGGCCTTTTGGACCTGGGGGTCCAACAATTCCTGGTGGCCCTGGGATCCCCATTCCACCAGCCTCTCCCTTAAGACCTGGAAATGAGATTTAAAACCATCAGGATAAAAAAAAAAATTCTCTTTTGAAATTCATTAGTTCTGGAAAAAAAAAATTTTTTTAGGCATCATTTCATTGAGACCAATAACTGTCAGAGTCTTAATAATAAAATCCGGGTAAGACTAAAACAACTACATAATCCTAAGGACAATACTTTTGTCTGATTTATAATTTTGTGCCACCTGAATAGATAAATTGAGCCCATTAGTCCTTGTCACTGGATTCATGGCAGCAGTGAAACGATTCAGGGAAGCACTGCCATATCAAACAAGGACAAAATGATTATCTGGCTCTTAACCTCACATGGACCACACTCTCTAATTGGAAGTAAAACCCAATACCTAGCATTTTTGGTTTTCTCATTCATTCACTTATGCATTTTTTCAGGAAGTATTGCTGAGGCCTCCTAGACACCAAGCACCATACGAGGTGTTAAGAATCAGCTATCAACATCCCAGCTGCTCTTTCCCTGGTGGAGCTGAGAGCCTGGGAGAGATAAACACTGAACAATAACCACACCAATAAGTAGAAATTATCACATTGCAGCTAGTGAGGCAAAGGAAAACAGGAAGGTCCCGTTATAGATTGTGCTAAAAGAACCTAATTTACGCTATCGGAGAAGACATCCCTGGGAAAATGACAAATGAATGAATTAGGATTTTCTGAGACAAAAAAAAAAAAAAAAAAAGAAAAAGAAAAAAGAAAAAAAAAACAACCCCAAAATACATAGATGAGCATTTCGGGAAAAGACCATGGTGTTTTTAAGAAACTGAAAGACGAGCACAGTGGGTGGGGCGCCTGAGTGACTCAGTTAGTTAAGTGTCCAACTCTTGGTTTCAGCTCAGGTCATGATCTCGAGGTTTGTGAGTTCGAGCCCTGCATTGGGCTCTGCGCTGGGGGTGCAGAGCCTGCTTGGGATTCTCTCTCTCCCTCTCTCTCTGCCTCTCCCACACACTTTCTCTCAAAATAAACAAATAAAGTTTACAAAAATGATAATAAAATAAAATAGTTGGGTTTGAGAGGGTTTATTGTCATTTTCAAGTTTGTTTAATGTCCCTCTTATGCTAGATTTCTAACTTTTTAACCAAACAGCGTTTTTGAAACACTGAAACAGTAGAATAAATATCTATGAATCTCAGAAACAAGACCCTATTAGGCTGAGAAGAGGAAAAGACTCCTACTACAGCTAACTGGAAAAACAAACACAATTTATTGAGCACTTATTCTAGCAGGTACCACAGTGAGTCTTTACGTGTATTACCTCATTCTGTCTCTTGATGACCCCATGAAGTTGGTACTATTCTTATCCCATTTTACTACTCTCTTTATTGTTTATTTATTTTTGAGAGAGAGAGGGAAAAAAAGAGAGAATCGGCAGGGGAAGAGCAGAGAGAGGGAGACACAGAATCCAAAGCGGGCTCCAGGCTCTGAGCTGTCAGCACAGAGCTGGTCGCAGGGCTCGAACTCAAGAACCATGAGATCATGACCTTAGCCGAAGTCGGATGCTTAACTGACTGAGCCACCCAGGCACCCCTTAATTTTTTTTTTTATTTTCATTTATTTTTGAGACAAAGAGAGAGAGAAAGAGAGCACAAGCACAAGCAGGGGAGGGGCACAGAAAGAGAGGGAGACACAGAATGCAAAGCAGGCTCCAGGCTCTGAGCTGTCAGCACAGAGCCCAACACGAGGCTCAAACTTATGAACCACGAGATCATGACCTGAGCCCAAGTCCGATGCTTAACCAACTGAGCCACCCACTCACCCCCCCACTTCTACTACTTTGTAAACTGAGACTTAGGTAATGACGCTTCCCAAAGGTAGGACCATGATAAACAAGACATTCTGAGCTCTTGAACACTCTGCTCTGTGCTGACTTGGTCAGACTAAAACATATGAGCACCCCAGGCAGGCAAATAATTTGGCATACATCCAAAATGTTTGTCCTATGTATTTAGAGGAGAGACTGAGCTCTGAGAACTGCCCAGCTAATCTACCAAAGGGTGAAACAAAAGCTCTCATGTCACAGACCTACAGCCTTAGAAGACAGTTTAGCAACCAGCTGTGTTTACTTGACCATGCCCTTGGAGGTCTTCACCCTCAAGCAGCTCACCAGCCAGATATGATACTAAGAGGAATTCTGGTAAATGTGATTTTCTCGGTATCATTGCATTTCCAATGATTCAGCAATCCAGAAATCTTCATGCCCTGACCACTGCCCAGCAACTCTACCTTTTAATTCCAGCTCTGCATGAATATTGATCACATTTCCCAAAAGGTTCCTACCATAGGATGAAATGAATGAAAAGCTTAATGAGGGTGCACAATTTCTGCTTTTATAACTTTAAGTTCTGCAGGCAAGACATAACAAATATATATATGTCATTTTTTCAGGGAATAGCGAATTTTAAACTGAGACTCCTCTCTCAATTTTACCTGAGTTCTCTGCTATGTGACATGTAAAAGCTGAAATGTATTACAGTAAAACTCAGTATATGCATAATGTATATATTAAAGATATCTTAAATTTTGAAATATGTAACCATGATGTTCAATGGCGAACATTGTTGGGCAAGGATACAGTGTTGCCTTGGAATCTCAATGAAGAGCAAACTGAATCCCGCCCCTTATTCTCCCCATCCCAGACATGCCATTTCTAATCCTAACTACAAATAGCACTCCAGAAATCCATCAGTCAAGACACATTCTAACTAGCCAGCAGAATTTTCATTTACCCTTTTTACATCAGCCATTAATGAGAAGACTGTACTGGTAGCAAGTTTGTAATGTGAAGAACTGTGTGCCAGGGCTGGGGTTGGGAGCCTGGTTTCTGCTCTAGCCAGCGCTGTCCAATAGAACTTTCTGCACTGATGAAAATGCTCTGTATCTGTACCACCCAATACAGTAGTCTTTGGCCACGTGTGGCCATTGAGCATTGGAAATGTGGCTAGTGTCATTGAGGAACTGAATTTTTAATATTAATGTTTATGTTTATTTTTATTAATAGCTACACATGTGGCTGGTGGGCAACACAGCACCCATTTGCATTTGTCACAGTGTTACACCTAGACCCTGTCACCATTTGCAGGACAATGTAGAAACCTTTGGGACAATTCTACCTCCAATCCACCTCTCAACTCCAAGAACATCCAGGTAGGAAATATGGCTTCATGCACTTTCAAATACCTGGCTTTCCAGTCTCTCCAGGTTCTCCTTTTTGCCCTGGGACAGATGAACAACAATCACAGCAATTCAGAAAAAAATCAGCCGTGTCAAGAGTGAAGTTTTCAAAGGGGAAGAGAGTGGCAGTACCGAAGGCAGAATCTAGGGCTGGGGGGTTGGGGGTCGGTTCCACCATTTCAGCCACTTCTGTGAAAGGAATTTCCTCTTCTTCTGGAGGTGGGCCACTGGACGGCTTTAGACCCTTCGGCATCTCTTTTCCCTCAGATTTCTTCGTAAATTTGGGATGCGGTGTGGTCTTTGCTACTGTGTCCATACCAACAAAAGCCAAAATAATTAAAATGGCACACAGCCAAGAAAACATCCACATAGTTGAGGCTGGAAGAAAGATATAATGGGAATATATACACACATATGACATGAGATCCAAATGTAATGATTAAGTGATATAAATATATAAGAAGGAAATATATAAATGCATATGAACCATAAGAATAAACAGTATGCATAATATTGAATGGTATCTTAAATGCATTTTAATGCAAATATGTACTTGAATCACAACAGGATATTTTGTTTACTTAAAATATTTACCATAAGGAAGATTTTGCTTCAATTCTCCTTGCTGGTTGTTTTCCTAGTGCTACATGTTCTAAAATATTGTTTTCAATCATTCAAATTATCTTGCCAACTAGCGAACATGATCTATAATAAATGCAACATGACTTAATAGCTCATATACCCTGTGGAAAACAAATATGTATAATTTCCTGACTGACCTCACTCAGATTTATAGGAATCAAATACATTTGTATTAGAGGGAGATGAAAAATATTGAGCTGAGTAGTTTATTCCAGCAAACTCAATTATTTCAAGAAAAAATACTGGTGAAAGGGTCCTTAAATCTACTAGGGATAATGGTCCTGTTGTGAGAGCAATTTTTTAGAATCTATTGTAATAAATGGAGAGAGAGGGAATAAAAAGATCATAAACTTGAATATATGCTATATCTTCCGATTCTTTTTTTTTTTTTTTCCAACGTTTATTCATTTTTGGGACAGAGAGAGACAGAGCATGAATGGGGGAGGGGCAGAGAGAGAGGGAGACACAGAATCGGAAACAGGCTCCAGGCTCTGAGCCATCAGCCCAGAGCCTGACGCGGGGCCCGAACTCACGGACCGCGAGATCGTGACCTGGATGAAGTCGGATGCTTAACCGACTGCGCCACCCAGGCGCCCCCATATATCTTCCGATTCTTCACATGTCATTTAACTCTCCAATTCTTCACTTCATCATTTGAGGAGTTTTCCTGAAAACTCACATTTATCCTTGCATTATTTTAATGGGGCAGAGGGTGGTTATTCTTATTAAGGCTTTTATTAATCAGAGTGATATGAGACAAAGTTCCCAATGAAGTGAAATTGTGAAGTGCAGTCCCCAGCAACTCACGGCCGTTCAGATGCTGCCAACAGATGGCCAGGGGTAGAAATGCATGATTTCTGGTTGGAAAAAGGAGCAGTATGAGGGTAAAGAGAATGGGTTAAGGATCGTAATAACACCTACTATTTACAGAGCTCCTACTATGAGCAGCTGCCTTACACACACCCATCTAATCAGTTCTCAAAACTGCTCTGCCAGGTAGAAGACACTATTCATCTTCACGAACGAGGACACAGGAACCAAGGGGTTCTACTCCTCATTCAAGATCACGCAATCAGAAAGTTATGAATTCAGAGCTGAAATCCAAGTCTGTTTAATTTCAAAGCCTCAGAGCACCGGGCTGGCTCAGTCGGTTAAGTGTCCGACTTCGGCTCAGGTCATGATCTCACAGCTCGTGACTTCGAGCCCCACGTTGGGCTCTGTGCTGACACCTCAGAGCCTGGAGCCTGCTTCAGATTCTGTGTTTCCCTCTCTCTCTGTCCTTCCACTGCTCATGCTCTGTCTCTCTTTCTCTCAAAAGTAAATAAACATTTTAAAAAATGCTTTTTTAATTTCAAAGCCTCAATCCTTTCCCACAAATCACATGGCATTTGTAAGGACGACACTAAAGAACAGAAATCCAAGCGCAGGATCAGTGGAAGAATAAATCAGAGGAGATGAGAAAGGGTTCAGATAAGATGCTGCATTTCTAAAATCATATAAAAATCCCAAAACGCTAACTTTCCTTCAAGTTGTCTTCGCTGCCATATTCACCCTCTCAACCAGTATTTACTGAAAATTAACAATGTCACAAACACTGAGAAATCAAACATAAGCCATGGTGTTTGTCCTTAAGGAGTGTACAGTCTGCTAGGAAAGATGAAAAACAGAAAAAGCAAAGAGGAAAGTGTGAAGGGCAAGTGATCACACTGCATTTTCCCAAATATAGACCTGATGCCCCACTCTCCTCCAACCCCTGCAAATATGAGCGCATAAACCAGAGTTACTAAGTATCAATCAGCTAAATTCAGGCCCAGCAAAAACCAGACAACAGAAGTATTCCATTTATATATAAAATAGTTCAAGTTTCATCAATTCACACAATTGCTGTCAGTAAAACATTCATTTATTTGTTCAACAAACATTTATTTGAGCATCTCTGAAGTGCCAGGTCCCGTGCTGGGTCACAGAACATAAAGACAAGTAAAACCCAGCCCCATCCCTAAGGATCTTGTCTGCACTGAACATCCGAACACAGCAAATATCCAAAGTGCCAAGTGTCCAAAGTGAAATATTGGTAACTTTTAATTCTCTCGCCACTTTGCCACACGAACTCAATTTGGCAGAATGCTGAGTATAAATGCTCTAAGACATTACTTATGCTCTCTTAAACAAATGAAATCATATGGAAAAATAACCCTTTTTTTTCCTCACTAAAACATGTCTGTGTTTTACCATGCATACAAAGTATTTCTGACCCTGAAAACATGTTATGATAGCCTCTCGGTAAGCCAATCCTAAAATGGCCAATAAGAGAGAAGCTGATATAGTAAGAGATAAGCTGTTGGGATTGGGAGGAGAAGGGATCTAACACCAGGAACATGACAGGCATTTTCCAGGCACTTTATAATTATTATTTCAATTACATCACATATGAACCATGCAAGATAAGATTTACTATGCCCATATAATGGATTATAAAACTCAGGCACAACAAAAATAGACACAAAGATCAATAGGACAAAATAGGAAACCCAGAAATAAACCTACAATTATATGGTCAATTAATCTTCAACAAAGCAGGAAAGAATATCCAATTGGAAAAGACAGTCTCTTCCACAAATGGTAATGGAACAACTTTCCAGGAACATGGAAAAGAATAAAGCGGACCACTTGCTTACACCATACACAAAAATAAATTCAAAATGGATGAAAGACCTAGATGTGAAACCGTAAAAATTCTAGAAGAAAACACAGGCAGTAACTTCTTTGACATCAGCTGTAGCCACTTCTTTCTAGGTATGTCTCCTAAGGCAAGGGAAACAAAAGCAAAAACAAACCATGGGAACTACATCAAAATAAAAACCTTCTGCACGGCGAAGGAAACAATCAACAAAACTAAAAGGCAACTGAAGGAATGGGAGAAGATATTTGCAAATGACATATCAGATAAAGGGTTAGTATCCAAAATATACTAAGAGCATATAAAACTCAACACCAAAAAACAGATAACCATTCAAAAAATGAGCAGAAGACATGAGTAGACATTTTTCCAAAGAAGACATACAGAGGGCCAACAGGCACATGAAAAGATGCTCAACATCACTAATCATCAGGGAAATAAAAATCAAAACTACAATGAAATACCACCTCACACCTGTCAGAATGGCTAAAATTAACAACATAAGAAATAGCAGGTGCTGGTGAGGATGTGGAGAGAGGGGAACCCTCTTGCACTGTTGGTGGTAATGTAAACTGGTACAGCCACTTTGCAAAACAGTTTGGAGGTTCCTCAAAAAGTTAAAAATAGAACTACCCTAGTACCCAGCAAGTGCACTGCTATTTACTCAAAGGATACAAAATTACTAATTCAAAGGGATATATGCACCCTGATGTTTATAGTAGCATTATCTACAATAGCCAAACTATGGAAACAGCCCAAGTGTATGTCGATAGAAAAATAGACAAAGAAGATGTGATATGTATATAATCACATATATGGTATGTTACTCAGCCATAAAAAAAGATTGAAATCTTGCCATTTGCAATGACATGGATGAAGCTAGAGAGTATTACGCTAAATGAAATAAATCAGTCAGAGAAAGACAAATGTCATATGATTTCACTCATATGTGGAATTTAAGAGGCAAAACAAATGAGCAAAGGGTGAAAAGAGAGAGAGAGAGAGAGATAAACCACGAAATAGATTCTTAACTATAGAGAACAAACTGAGGGTTACCAGAGGGGAGGTGGATGGAAGGATGGGTTAAATAGGTGATGGGGATTAAGGAGTGCACTTGTGATGAGCATCAGGTGATATATGGAGGTATATATCATATACTATATATATAATTCTCTGTATTATATATAGTACTATATTATAGACCTGAAACTAATATTACACTATATGTAAATTAACTGGAATTTAATTAAAAATTCCCATCAATGGATGAATGGATAAAGATGTGGTATATATATACAATGGAGTATTGCTCAGCAATCAAAAAGAATGAAATCTTGCCATTTGCAACTACGTGGATGGAACTGGAGGGTATTATGCTAAGTGAAATAGAGGAAGACAAGTATCACATGACTTCACTCATATGAGGACTTTAAGACACAAAACAGATGACCATAAGGGAAGGGAAGAAAAATCATATAAAAACAGGGAGGGGAACAAAACATAAGAGACTCGTAAATATGGAGAACAAACAGAGGGTTACTGGAGGGGTTGTAGGAGGGGGGATGGGCTAAATGGGTAAGGGGCATTAAGAAATCTACTCCTGAAATCATTGTTGCACTATATGCTAACTAATTTGGATGTAAATTTAAAAAATAAAATTAAAAAGAAAAAGTACTTAAAAATTCAGGCACAGAAAGTTAAGTAGTCTGCCTGAGTTCACAGTTTAGTACGCAGTAGAGCTAAGATTAAAACCTAGGCCCATTTGACTCCAAAGTCAGCCCATGCACTTTCCACTGTCCCATGTTGCCTGGGGATTAATGAGTGACCATTGATGCTGCAGAAGGCATTAAGCTGAACCCTTCATGGAGCTCAGCTCTAGGCCCTTCAGTGGAAGAAAGATATTTCCCACTGAGAAGAAACAGGAACTTAATGGGAGACATGAAGAAGAGAGATGAGAAGTCTGGCTCTGATGGTGGCACGTACTAGTGTGGAGCAAACAAAGTTACAGAGGGAAGCAAAGCACATCCAGCCAGAAACCAAAGAGCTACAGAAAAGA